ATATATATAAAAGTTTTGGACCCACTAATTATATTAAAGGCGCCCACAACATATATACCTACCTCCCCTTCATTATCTCAGAGGAAGCAGAAGCTTTTGGAACCGGAACAAGAAACCAATGTAAACCTACTCATCAACCTTCACCAGTCAAATTGATTTAGGGCGTTTATTTGGTATACTCAAAGTCAAATTATTAATTTTATTATAATTTATAAAAATTTTAAATTTTAAATATTAGAATTAAAAATCATAATTTTTTAGTATACTTTCAAAACCGGTTTTAAGGTCTCGTCAATTTAAAGCCAATGATATGATGACTTTTAACAACCCCTTATTGCTTCAACTTCTTTAATTCAAAAACCCAAACCCCTATCACAACCTTCCGATTGCAATAAAAATTCCTGTTTTCAACACGTATCCAAACACAGAATCTGTTCATGTTTACACTTTAATTGCATAAATAAACGCGGGCTCAACTTGCAATTTAAACCACACAAAAAGGTTCAAATCGCTTCAATTCGAACCGCGGAGCCTAAATTCCCCAAACACAGCCCTAAAAAGCCATAAATCACACCTATTGACCACTCGTTTGTTTCATAACTTTGAATTACTGTCGAAACATTTTTACTATAATGTTTTTCGTCACAAAATTTAAATTTCCGTTGGAAATTTTTCTCTTCAAATCAATTAATCAAACGGGCCCTGAGAAACTTCAAAACAAAAAAAAAAAGGATTAAGATCATCACCTGTACTGAACCCCGGTCTTAATCCCGAGAGACATGTCGACGCTCCCGACGGCCTCGAGAAACGCAAAGTACTTGGCCGGGTCTTCGAGCAAGTAGCGGAAGGGCCTGATCCCGGTCTCCCTGACAAGGCCGTGGAGCTGCCTCATACAGAGCTCCCGGTGATCGTCCTTCGAGATCTCGATCGGCGTCTGCAGCTCCGGCCTCGCGCTGAAATACTCGAAAACTCGCTGCTGAATGTCCCTGTGCTTGCCTCTCATGTACTTCGACAGCGCCGCCGTCTCCACGCTCAGCCTCGGCACCCCCCTGCTGCATTCCACCATTCGGAGCTGCTCTCCGTCACCGGAGAGGAGAGCCATTCCTCGGCCAGGGGAGAGGTGGAGCGCAAGCCGTTCGATTCGCCGAGCGATCGGCTGGAATTGGTCCTCGGCCGTGCGATCTTGATCGGGGGTTAGCATTTTTTTAGAGAGAGAGACGACGCTGAGGATTTGAAGGAAGGTGGTGGGAGATTTGAATACGGAAATACGCTTCTACTACTTCATTTTTAATGAAGTTTTACTTATACGGAACAGGTGATGACGTGCCTGTGAGTTTGGGTGACGTGGCGTTGTGTGATTGGTCGGGAGTTTGGCAGTTAGTTTTGGCGCGTCTTCCAATATTAATGGGATATGTTTCGACAAGGTTTCGGATCAGATTATGATGTGTGTCACGTCATATGTTCCTGTCTAACGATTTTTTTTATTTTTAATTTTAACGAAAACGAAACCCAAAAACTTTGTGTCAAAACTGGACTTGTTCTTTTTAGGCCCTTTTTATTTAGTCGATTTAAGTTTATAATTTGAGTTTTACTATAGTAAAAAATTTTTAAAAATAGTTACATTTAATTTTTTTACTACAGTAAAAAATTCTCACACAAAATCACATCTCAACTCGAATTATAAACTCGAATCAGCGAAGTGAACGGGTTAAAGTATAATTTTTAAATTGAATTTGAGTTAAAACTTAAGTTTATGTTTGGTTATGTACATTTAAGTTATGATTTAAGATAAGAATCTTTTTGAGTTTGTATTTGAGTGAGTCAAAACTTGTATTTATATAGTATTTTAATAAAAACTCAATGCTGATGAAAAATTTTAATAGGGTATATGGGTCGGGTTTTATTCGTCTTTTCATTGTCAACGCATAGAAAAAAAATCATCTCAATCAGAATTAAAACGAAAAAGTTATAGCATTTTTAAGAATATAAAAAATATTGTTCATTAATTTGAGTTCGAGTTTCTGAACTCGAGTTGAAAGGGAAACTTAAACTCGAGTTTTAGTCCTAAACTCGAGTTTGAACTCGAGTTTAAACTCGAGTTGAAAGGGAAACTTGAACTCGAGTTTAGGACTAAAACTCAGTTTAAAAAAAACATAAACTCGAATAAAGTTGTAACTCAAGTTACATTTTTTTAACCGTTCACTTCGTCGATTCGAGTTTTGCTACAGTAAAAAGCTCTCAGAAACAGTCACATCTAACTTTTTTGTTATAGTAAAAAGCTCTCACATAACATCACATCTTAACTCGAATTAAATATTTGAATCAGAGAACTAAACGGACCTTAAATTTTTCACTCAAAAGAATAAGCCTACTAGAATAAAATAGTCCCTATAAATAAACAGAAAAAGTGGGGGAAATTATGGGCAATGGCCAATGGGAAAGCTTACTACCCGTAAACAAATTTTTTTTTTTGTTTAATTATAGAAACAAATTTGGTTTTATTGTCGTGAGATGAGCCATGAGACACGACGAAAAAGGACGAACAATATACGCCGACTTATTTTGTTTAGGATGAGGTTTGTGTCATTTGCCAAGTAGGACGGTTGCTCATCGAATTTAAAGTATGGATGAGATTATTGTTTGATTTAACGCTTTGTTGGACGTGTTAATCTTCACTTAACCTACTCTGTAGAGATTGTGTTTGCGAGAGAAATTGAGTCACCTTATAATACACACGCTGATTATTAGTCTATTTATATTTATCAATCATTCATCTTTTCTACCGTTTTGTTTTGCTAGTGATGAGGAACTTTACTCTTGTTAGTATTTTGATATTTTAACTTGTGAATTTTTCTCCTTTTATTCACAATAACGGTAGTTCTTATCTCGATTGGTTTAGATAATTATTTTTTTCATCTGCAAGATGTTTCTTTGCGGTTTTTGTCTAGCCTTCGTGCTATGGATTTCTCGACATCGGTTGATCAGATTATTGCCATCGACTATAGAGAATATGTCAAAGAGCCATATGTATGCTCGATTTTTTATATACCTCTTTGAGTGATTTCTATTTCTCGAGTTGGGTACACAATATTTTTTCTTGAGCTTCATTCGAGTTTACTAATAAAACCAGTTATATGTGATGCCATGTTTCCTATAGCAGGGACTATGTGTATGGATTGGTGTTTGATTATCCATTTTAAAAATTATATATATACACACACTTATTTGTGATCTAATAAACTCCTTCTACACCTATTTTCTTTTACATCAAGATAGCACTTTATATATATACACACACTTATTTGTGATCTAATAAACTCCTTCTACACCTATTTTCTTTTATATAACACGGGATTGAACCCGTAATATCCCAGCTCTCATCCCACTTGAACCTCCTAGTGCCACTAGACAAGCGGTCTTAGCATTCTAAAACTATTTTAATAATTATTTCATTATTAAAATTACTTTGAAGGATTGGTTGCAAGTATTGCTCAACCATAATTACAAAATGAAGAGTTCAAATAGCTCTTTTAAAGTTCAAAAGGGTATTGATTAGTGAAAAATTGGAGACCGGTTTCTCAATAAAATTGAATCACGCACTGTGAGTAAAATGCATGTCAGAGGCCCCAAAACAAGAACTACCTGAGTACATCAAGAAATGAGCTCACAGGAGGCTCTATGGAGAGTCCCCAAAGATCAAAAGAAACAACCGATGGAATAGGGATCACGACAAAGTAACGCAAGCCATCGACCAAAAACAAACAGACAATATAATAAAGAATAAACTTTACAGATTGGACATGATAAAAGATAAGGAGATCACTTCTGTTATTACAAACACAAAGCAAAGACTGAAAACAAAAATAAACCCAGACATGCGAAAGTAAAAAAAATGTCATTATTGAACACTAAAAAGCACAAATGACGAGAGGCGTCAGCCTCGTGCGAAACGCGAAAGATAGCACTTTAATCTCCAAAGACTAATGCTGAGAGAGGATGAAACATCGGAGCCGAAGTTGCCAAGGGGAGAGGATGGATGCTGGAAGACGAGCAGCCACCACCACTAAACAAACCGGACTACTCATTATCAGATCTGACATTGTCAAACATACTCCCACCAAGACCCACACCACCGGCAGCCGTGACATCAACATCTGACCAATCCCACGAGACCGTGAAAACCCCAAAGAATCACATCAACACATTACTTTAAGGATAAAAAAATTATACCTTCTTAAATACATCAATTATTTAATATTGTAATCATTTTAAGAACATCAATAACATCTCTTCTACACAAGGCTGGCTAAACACTCTTGGAGGCCTTAGGCGAAAAACTATTTACGGCTTAAAAGAAATACAATTTTGCATAGATGATTTTCTAATACAGTTTACAACTAAAAAGATGCCTTTATATATATATATATATATATATATATAATTTACACAGATAGTTTCTCAAATAAGTGACACTTTGATTTTTAAACTTTTTGTTTTAATAAAATGACCCTCAATCTTTTTAAAAAGTGATAATTTAATATTTTTTTGTTAAATTTCGTTAAATTTTGAACAGAACATGTCACTGATTCATCATCTACTTTTTTTAATAAAATGACTTAAATGCCCGTCAGAAAAACCTCCTTCTTCTCCCTTTTTCCCTAAATTTCATCTCCAAATCCAAGAAATTGAAGCTGTAAATCCCTCCCTTGAAGAGCACCAACCGGTTCCTCTCCGTCTCCATCGGTTCACCGGTAATGTTGTCCTTAAGCGACGACGTTCTGGCCTCCGCCGCACTGGCACCGACCACGGCTCGGCTCGTTGCAACCGGTTTCGACGCCTTCGCTGATTGCAGCCGCTCGCGCCGCCGGAAGCAGAGGATGAGGCGAAGGACGACGAGAATGTGGCCGAAACTCGCTCCCAGAACGATCCCGATGATCGCGCCGGTAGAGAGCTTATTCAATTTCGTCTTGACCGGAATCAATGGAGGCGTTCCGACAGGCGATTCGGCCGGAGCCGGGAAGAATGGATTGTGTTGGAGATACTCGGAAGCTTGCCAGAGAAGCCGTTGTTCTCCAAGAAAAGTCCAGTCAAGTGCGTCAGATTGTTGACGGTGAATGAAATCGCGCCAGTAAAGTTGTTGGAGGAGAGATCCGAGGTGACCTTTCATTTTAATTGTTAGAGAGAGATTGAATACCCAATGGAGTAATACTCGGCAGCGACGATGGCGGTAGGATAAGCTCTCATAGATCGGCCAGAGACTTGCATAATTTTGTTTGTCATATTGGGTAATCTAGGAATGTGTTCTAGGGTTTCATTTTAATTGATTGTCAAAGGTTTCCATGTTTTCGTTGAATGAGTGAAAATCCTGCAGAAGAACCAGTTGCAAAACCAGTCTCCACCTCCCACGACCGGACCTCCCTCGACGGCTTCTCCGGCTGCCCCTCCGCCCTCCAGTTCGCCTCCCGTTGGGGATTAATGGAGATGATCGTGATGTTCAGCAGAAAAGGATAATTTTTCTAGCGGCATCATGTGACATGTTTGTTAAAAATTTAACGAAAATGACTAAACTGTCATTTTTAAAAGTGATTGAGGATCGTTTTGTGAAAAAAAAGTTTATAGATGAAACTATCATTTACTAAAGAATTTGGAGACCATATATGCAAATTACCTAATGTGTATCTCATGTTAGATTCATGTTTTATATATATATATATTTATATATATTACTATCTTTTGCACTTAAATTTGACAATTTCATAAGAAAAATTATGTAATAAGAACATGCTATAGATTTTAAGAAGGAAAAAAATTAATAAATTGAGAATATTGTAACTTTAAAAAAAAATCAATCCCAAATTCCTCTACTTCTTAAACTCTTCAAAACATGATCTTAATTTTTTTTAGAGTAAAAGTGAGGAATTGAGAAGTACTAAATAGGAATAAGACGTTAAGAGAACACATAAACAATAAGGTATTAAGAGAGAATGACATGTGATTTAATGACAATAATGTATGAGAAGAGACATTCCTTAAAAAAATAAAGGATTAATTACAAAAACTCATTATGAACTATACCAATTTATAATATTTTGTCATTCAATTTTTGAAACCTAACATCTATTTTTCTGAACAATAAAATATTAATAAAAAAACTCCACGTGTTAGGTTTTTTTTTTAACAAAAATTGACATTTAATTATTT